CATGATAGTATATTTCTGTTACTAAACCCTCAGCCATACTTTTACATGACAACATCACATCACCAAGATGCAATGGGTTTACTTGAAGCAAAAAAAGAAAAAAAAAAAAAATCCATTATACACAACTCCAATGGTTTATGGCTTCACTGAGGCTCCATAAAAAAAAAATCACACAAAAAATAAGGCTAAAGTATGTGTATTTTTCTCCATTCCAGACAAATGCTATGTCTTAAGAGTTCTCTTTAAAATCCACCTGAGAAAGTCGATTCATAAAGGGCCAAGAAGTTGTAGGTCAAGCATGATCATTTGTTTAGTTTATGGATGAAGTTTATAGTGTGTAAGAGTTATGTTGAAAGTAGGAAAGGCTTTGTGCCAGTCATGAATGGCCTAGAGGAGCTATGGGCACGGTATTCCCGTTTAGTTGTCTAGACCTTACCCTTGTGGGGTGAGGTCTAAACATACTCCAAGCTTACCATGGCCAGTAATGAAGATTTTCTACCTCAATTTTGGGTATAGGCTTACTTCTTTATCAACAAGCCCCACTGATTTTAATCCCTCCGATTCCTTGACCCCAGGCCATCCCTTGACGACTCAGACTACAACTACTACCCCCCGCCTCAACACTTTTCACCCCAGTCCAGTCTAAATTATCTTCCCCGAGGTTATTACTCAACCTCTATGAAACATTCCTCTTCTAACATCCTCTACTTCATCTACTGCTATCTCCTCCTTATCCTTATTAACCACCTTTCTGCTGTACTACTTAGCTCAACACCACTCCCTGCTCCACAAGGCCCCATCCCTCTGTTACCCACACCATTATAAATCTTTAAAGTATTCTATTTAACCCAGCCAAATGGGATCATTTTTTTTATCCCCTCAACAGACTCTTACTCTGATAACTCACCTCTTACAATTATGCCTCCAAAAACAAGTAGGTATAGTTCCTTCTGCAGTAGTCTTGATCATTCACGCCATGAAATAGTAATATTTAAGGGGATCGTCATTTTCTTTTTTTTTAACTTGCCGATTTTGATGAAACTATCACCCTTTTATTTAGACACTAGCCTGATCTCTGTGGTAGATTTTTTTCGAAATCAGCCAAACAGTTTTTGAATTATAGTAAAAAAAACAAGAAAATCACCGCAAAAAAAAAAAAAAAAAAAAAATTTTGGTCCCAAAAATAATATTAGGAAAAAATTGCACAGTTATTCTAATTGTTTTATTATACAGAACCATCCTTTATCTAGCAAATGTTGGGAGCACTTTTTTCGATTTCGACTTTATTTTTATTTATTTATTTTTTTTTTTTATTTAAACGAGTCGACTGGCAGGTATCCAAAAAAAAAAACAGTATTCGTCACTTATATATCGACTTTATGCGAAACACAGGAAAAAATCGAAAATTCCGTCCCTACGTTCCCTAGACAAACTATTTATCTACAAAAAGAGCCATAATACATTTATTTTGGACTATATTTGCTTTAAAAAAATCGCTTGAAAAAAAAAATAAGTATACTTCCGAAATAACCGTCATTGAAGTTTTTTTTTTTTTTCTCTCTTCATAATCATTATGGTACGAAAAATTAAAGGGAGAAGCATAATCTTCCTACACCATAATTATCTATCATATACCTGCATTCCAAAGTCAACCAGACATTGCCAGTATGTAACGGTTTCTCGTATAGTACAGAGTGGTGGCAGTGATCTGGGGGGGTCTATAGGCCTACATTGACATTTTTAAAAATTTGTCAAAAATCCCAAAAAAATCATACAGCCATTCTGATTTCATGTCTGACTAGAACTATCTATTATTATAATCAGAAGCCATTTTTGAGAAGTTGACCTTACTTTTTTTTGGTGAACATTTTTCGAAGGTGACTATTTAAACACCCTCATAGGAGATTTTGAAAATATGTCACTTTTACAAGAACCACATGAAAATATTGCAAACCCTTATGGCAGCATGTGATAGAACTATTATTCAGCTACAAAATGAGCCATAATACGTTCAAATCGGACTGAAAATACGTGTGATATGAGTAAAAATGTGAAGGAGCTAATATTCGCGATCTTTTTCCTATTTATTATTTATACATTTTGCAAGACAAATCACGTGCGAAATACTTGTTATTGATATAATTATCTATTATTTACCTATTATTATTGTTCTAATGGGGTTTTACAACGTATAATATTGGTTGAAAGTATAACTTTTCTCCAGTCGTACGAGAATCATATTGTCCTTTTTCTCGGCGCGGCCGGGCCGTCAAAGGGGGATGACTCACGCTCTTTACCTAAGGAGAGAAAGAATGCACAACTCTACGGGGCCGCGTAGCCATTTTCACTCAGACACGTGAAAGTCGAAAAACGAGTACATTGCGGTGTAAAAATATGTATATAAGGTATACAAGCACATATAGATAATTTTCGTGTACCCTATGAAATTTCGTTTATTTATAATGTTACTTCCGTTTGTTTCTTTGTTAATTGTTTATGGTGTTTTTTTGTTTGTTTTCTATTATTTCCAAAAGTTATGAACACATTTTAATGAGATTTTAACCGAAGGTGTGTTTTAACCTAACTTAGACACTTAGCCTAATTAATATTCCATAAAATTTTGGTGGTCCGGAACATTTGGCAAACTACCCCCCGTGGGGGGGCGAGGTTTGCATTTTCGAAATGTTTTGCTCATAGATCAAACAAACTATGTATGATGAAAACATAAGGAAAATAAAGTACACCATATGAAAGACATATGTTTAGTTATTGTATGGAAAATTTCTTCATTATCGTTTTTTGGACGCTTGCCGGATTTTTTTAATTATTCCGAAAAAAAGAAGGTTGGTCTCATCTTACGTGAAATTTGATAAGCTTTCAGGAAATAATCTTATTTTTTTATTATCTCTAATCATTGCATCACAATTGCCGATTTTCTAAGGTAACGTGAAAAAATATATATTTCAGTCGACATCGAAAATGGCTGCTACCACCTAAAAAATAACGGTCAGGCCTTGAAATTTTCAGGGGAGAACCGGGGCCTAGAAACTCTAAGAAAATGCATTTAACTCAATTTCAGCAAGATGGGCGAAAATTGCCCCCTCCCCCCCCCAAAAAAAAAAAAAAAAAACACACACACACACACACAGACGATCCCCTTAAGTCCCAAACACGTGGGTTATGTAACCTGATTGACCTCACAGGCAAACCTATTCCTTCTCAGCCTCATCCCTCCCTCCATGCATGTACCTGAATTGTCTCCATCTCCCTGAAAAACTGCCATGATAAGGATTGGTCAGATTGTTGAGGACTTACTAACCTGCCTCGTGGCCTGTGATACAGTATCATTACAATGCTACTATTATCTCTAGAGGCCGCAGTAAGTCCTCCATCAAAATTGCCAAGATTACTTTCCATGACCTTCCTCTTCATGTTTATATTGGCAGAGAAAACCCCTCTATCCAACCATCTCAACCTCCACCCCATCAGTGTCAGAATCCTGAACTGTTATATGACTTTTGACACTTAGTACACTTAATCATCAACTAACCCTCCTCTTTACCCTTTTCATTAATAGATCTTTCTTTAATACTATATGACATTTGATATCTAGCACATTTATTTTGCTTTGTAACAATTAACCATTTACCATTGCATATAAAGCACATTGCAGTTTTCACGAAAATCAAACTGTTGGAACCTTGTCATTACATCATTTATATAGGAAGAGTGCTGGTAAGATTATATACTTAATTTTTTTTTGATAAAATCAGCTATAAAAAGAGGAAAGTAAATCATCTGGTTTCTAAAAAAATATCAATAATGAATTTTCTTCAGTCAAAATTGGGTTATTTGTTGGAATCATTAAATTAATTCTTTTCAAATGTATAAGACAATGAAAATTTTTCATTTTATTGTTTTAATAATTTTTAAAGTGTGTTTCAAGTGAGAGAAAAAAATATATATATTAAAAGTATTTTTGCTTGAGTATCTTTTTGAAAAAAGCAACTATGGTTTCTAATATTTTCAGTAATCATATTTAGATGTTTTCCATCCAAAAACAGATAATTGCAGTAATTATTCTCACATTTATTTCCATACCTGTTTATTATCTTTTATTGTGTTCTATGCCATGAATGTGGCCATTTTCCTTCTTTTCTTGGCATAATATTTTTTCATTCATGGCTTCCCTTATTTTTGTATGGTACTACAATAGAGGCTTATAGGCTGTTTCTGCCCTCTTCATAAAGGGTAGGAATTGAGTTGGCTGGCTGGCACAGATAACAAACAATAGTTCACAACTTTCAAAAGTTAATTCATTTTGCTATTCACCTTACTTCTTTAGTGTTACTAATGTTGTATCAAGTTACTTTAAAAAAGAAAAAAAATGGCTTGATCTGGTATTGCAAGTAAGAGTTATATACATATATAAAAAAAGGGGAAATGTTGTTTGTAATAGTTTGTTAGGTTGATGAGTAGACATTAAGAAGGTATAAAGTGCTAAATTCTTTATATGTATTCAGAAAAGTAAAATAGTTGTCTTTCTTTTATTACATGCCAAAATTGCAATTTTTGGAAATGAAAAAAAAAAATATTTATTAAACATTAAACATTTTAAGCTATATAACAAAATGGTTACAAAAAGGCTATATAACATTAATATGTTTAATGATGACTTTTGATATATGTTGCACAAACATGTATAATCACTATCACACAGTGGCTCAACTGGTCAACCTGGGCTACGTGCAGTCTATAACATCATTGTCTTCTTCACCCATTTCATCATTTTCAATCATCTTTGCAATTATAACACATCTTGGCATGGGGCACAAACAGGGGACAGGGTGTTCTTCTATTTCTGGGTCAAGCATCTCCACTGTCATTGTGTAGTGCCGCACATTGTCATCACTTTGGGCAAACAATATCTTCCAACCCACCACTTCATCTTTCTCTACCAAATTCTCAAACTCTAGTTGTGTGGTTGAGACTACAGTGTCCTGTACCTCTCTCTTATCTTCTTTACTGTCATCCTTGATGGAATTCTTGGTTTGTATTTGATCACTTTGTTGTGGTTCATGATTTTCAGATTTTTCAGCTGAGCTTTTTTCAACTTCAACATCACTGGTTTCAAGAGTACCATCCTGACAGCTTAACTCGATCTCTTGGCCTGTTTTTGCTGAGCCATATCCCAGAACAACCACAGTTTGCTTCCAGTGTGTTGGGGTGCTTATGGGTGAAGTTGAAAGTGTGATTAGTGTTCCCAAGTTTTCCCCTTCCTCACTATACCAGTATCCATCAAAGTCACACTCAAACCACAGACAGAGACCCTGGTAAGATCCAGACTTTGTGATGCCAACAAAAGTAGTTTCAGAAAACAGCTTTACCTCTTCTTCAGTTACCCATCTCAGGTTGAACTTCTTAATACATGTTGGTTCAGCTAACAGGTCTGATTCAGGAATAAGGCAGACTTCAGGTTTTATCATTTTGGATCTGAGAGCAAACTGTTTGACAGCAGACATGTTGAATCCATAGACATTATCCCAGTAATTTATTTGTTCTTTATAAAGAGATTGTAATGAACATGGACATGCAAATATTCTTGCTTCTGAAGGAAATACTGTGCCTTCATCTGAAAGGAACATATTTCTGGCCTTTATAACTGAATTAAGCATGGATTCATGTAATAAGTAAAAGCCCATCCATTCAGACACAATTATGTCAACTTTTTCATCTTCTGGAAGTGATATGTCTTCCACTCTTGAATGGAACACTTGAATAACATCACCAAATCCATTATCTTCTGCAACTTTTTGAATAACTTCTGCCATGCCACTGGCTTCTACAGCATACACTTTTTTGGCTCCAGCAGATGCCATAAACAAAGATAAAATCCCTGAAATAAAAATTACATTAGGTCTTCCCTGAGCAGTTTTAAATAACATGCTTGTCTAATGTCTACTTTTGCTTCTGTCTCTACCATGTTTACTCCTTTACTAATTCTTACCCTATACTTACTAATTTTGACATAAATGCAGCATTCAGATATATTCTAAAAGAAAATACTTGCCTGTCCCTGCTCCAACATCCATGGCAATTTTGTCTTTGAATAAATGTTTGTTTTTGGTAATTGCATCATAATAGGCTGTTGTTCGAGGTTTGTCGCTGACCATTAGTCTATGAATCTGAAAAAAAAATTAAGCTATATATTGCTCAAACCAACTAATACTTTTAACTGACCATGCAATTACAAATAGTTTCAATTATACATTTGCATTTGTCAGGTATGTACACTTTACCAAGTGATTTATTTCATTTTGTCTACATGGCTTATAACCCAGGCTTCAGTTACCAGGCATACATGCTCTCATGTATACCCCATTCCTTATTTTTTTATTCTTATTTCTAATATTATTATTGTTATTATTTACAATATTATTTTTTGAAACAATCAAGGAATAGGATAAACAGGCGAGATCAGGTAGGCCTACTAATTGATTCCTTGGTGATAAGTACTTGTGGAGCCCTCTGCATGTAAATAAAAACACCAAACTAAAACAATGGACATCACATATGATGCCAAAATATACATGACATCATAATATCTACATGTAAAGGAATATTATTCATCAATTATCTCACTCCAAGCTCAAAAAAAAAAAAAAAAAAAAAAAAAAAAAAAAAAAAAATCTTACCTCTACATCTTCATAACTCTTAAAGTATTCTTGTGAGTCTTCAGTGAGAGGTGAGGGGTCAATTGTCCCCATACTTGCTTCACTGAGGTCTGAGGCTTTACTTGTATCTGCAATGTCACCGTCCTGCATGGCTGGACCTGTCATGTGTATATAAATAAGACCATTTCCCTATAAATTTCTCACTCATCATAACAATTTACATTAACAATACAAGTTCTGTGAACCTACTTATGAAATCAAACTAACCATATTCAAAGGATATTCTACCTATATTGCATGTCCTGTGCTGATTTCAGCAAATATTTCCTTTTCAAAGCTTGGACACATTATAAATTATGACTATTTTATAGAATAGAATTTCACACATTCCCCAATTTTAATGGGCTTTATTCAAATGGAAAACTGATAAAATAAATGCCACTTTATATATATTCTTGTTTTAAGCAAATATTAAACTAAGTTACTTATTTTACCCAAGTTTTGGAAATAACTGAACTCTCTTGGCTTCACAGAATCAAACATTTCAATTTGCAAATTTAAGCACAATAACTTATCTATGATTCTTTATGCACCATAACAGAAAATTCACCCGAGCTTTTAAAAACAGATTCTTCCCTTGTTACTATGGCACCCTTGTTTCATCCATTTATTGCTATACATGCTCAATAACCTATAAATTTTATCCATAATTAGACAGAGTTATGAATTCAAGGAATTCAAGAAATATAATCAGTAATACCAAATATTACATTATAATAAATTGTGTCACTGAACAATGCTCGTTCAACTGTAATTATATGTCTCC